CCCGCCTGGGTGAGGCGGGAGGGAGTGTCAGACTCTTACTGACTAAAAACCACCCCGTTCCTTCTCCTGCACGTCGAGCCGGAGCCCCGGTTACCCGTTAGGTTCTCCGCGACTCCGAATCGGCATCGGCCCTATTGGGCCCCATCTGTGGTGGTCTGATGGCTCTTTGAGGCGCGCGCGGAACGCGACGCGCCGTACGCTCGGGTCTGTTTCTGGTCGGACGGGGAGCCACCCATGCTCGCCGTCCGCAGGCCCGCGCTTACGGTGGCCGGAGATCGTCCCGCGATCCCCGACGCCCGGTGTGTCCTTCGCGATGGCTGGGTTGCGAGGAGGCAGCGCTTCGCTGCCTCACGCGTCCCGCCTCCTCCTTAGCTAGCATGACTGCTTCGCAAAAGGAGGAGACGGCATCCCAATTCCCCTCGCTCCGCATCATGGCCTGCACTAGGCCCGGACGCGAGAAGTCGCCATCGCCGATCACTTCCCTGAGGACACGGCGGTGCTCAGCCCACGCAGGGCATTCCGCTACAGTGTGTTCCACTGTGTCCTCAGGGCGGTCCTCGCAGTGATGACACCCGGGCGTTTCCTCCCGCCCCATCAGAAACAGGTACCTCCCGAAACTGCCATGTCCGGTGAAGACCTGCGTCAGGCGGTAGGTGAGGACGCCGTAGCGTCTCTCAAGCCACTCCTCAAAGAGGGGACTTACCGCTGCGATGGCAGCGAGCCCAGCCCTCGGTTGCGACAGTAGTTGCTGCCATTCAAGCCATGAGATCGCGCCGGAGCTCATCCCGCCACGCACATATCTGGCGCAGCAGCGGGGTTTCGCCCCGGTGACGTGCCTCCGCGCGCATGCTGTACACGCGCGCGAGGACCTTCGCCTCCAGATCCAACGGCGGTAATCCGGCAAGGAGGTTCGCCGACTCCCTAGAGATCGTGCGGTATCCGCGGATCATTCGGATCGCCATGACCCTCTGTGCCATGAGCAGCGTCCGAGCGGGACGCCGCAACAGGTTTGGCGCCCAAACAGGGGCGCCGTAGTGGGCCCGGTTACCCTTTAGGTTCTCCGCGACGATTGAAAACGGTTGCGAGATGATTGTAGTCCATCAAACATGTATAGTATATACAATCATACAATACAGATTTAGCAAATCTATACATCTATACAGTCGCGGAGAACCTTATAACATTTTTAAGAACATAACTAATCCTATGGCCTCATATTCATGTTTGCACTCTTTTGTCGGCCAACCCGCTGTGCAACAAAGGTATAAGTTTTATAACTATGTATATGTCTATAGAGACAGTATATTATATCCTAGCTACATAAGATAAGGTTCCATGTTTGTTCCCACTTCAACTAATATTGCTTAAAGTGTAAAATAATTTCGCCAATTACATTTTCTTTCATTTTTAAGAGGTATTTCTCGTAGCGCTCCCATTTTGAAGCGCTCCCATCTAAGCAATCCCGTTTTGTTCCTCCAAGCGCTCCCAAAAGGAGCGCTTCGAGGAACGATTAAAAATATTAAAATTTATTTCCTCGAAGCGCTCCCATGATTAACTTTCGGATAGAGATAGGACTATACTAACTGAAATTATCGAGAATAACTAGGTAATAAGTAGAACACATTGTTATAATATACAAGTAGTGGTCCGTCCTGGCTTCGCACGGGTTTTGTAGTACATTTTCTTTTTGTTTTTTTGTAAATCCTTAGTCAAAAGATTGGACAAAAGATTGAGATTTTAATTTTTTTTCTTTACTACTTTCCTAAATATCACAGTTTTGATTGCATCTGCGTCCACACTCACACACTCACATGAAACTTGTAACATAACACGGGTGGAAAGGGTTACACGAGAAGTGCATCTAGCTTCACTGACGAACTGACTGACAGACTATTATTTATTTTGTATTTGTTGGCATTTCAAAAGTACCAAATTATGATTTAATTGTAAGAAATGCTTTGACTTTGACTTTACATTAAATATGTTAACCTCTACCTTATTCCGTTTGTGGAAAAAGCCTTTTGCTATAATGTGTAATATTGCATAAAAATTGCAATTGAAAAGTATCATTGAAATTAATACCTATAGGAAAACAATACAATTTAATATTTCTTTGTATTCATGATATAAAATCATTGTATAGGTACTTAATATTAATCTACTTAATAACGATGAACTAAAAAATAATTACACCTTAAAAAAATGCTAATATAAGGCATCAAATAAATAATATATTATAATAATAGTAATAGTCAATATTAATTTAATATATGTCCTGCATATTATACATTTTTTTTTTTTTAAGATAATATTGTTAATATCTACTTAATAAACAAGTAATTAATTTTTTTTTTAAAACTACATTAAATATAATTCTCTGTTATTTATTTTTTGAAAAGTTTTTTTTCATGTTCTTCATTTTATACTGGAAAAAATATAACAATATTAACTGTAGAATACATCTCTTATTTTTTGTCATATCATTGTCGTTAATTGAATGTATTGCACTTACAATTCAGAGATTTAATTTTAGTTAACAAGTTTTCGTAATATTTCACTTGATCTTTTTCTGTAAAAAAATATTTAACATTTTTAAACTTATGTCAAATTTAACAATGCAATTGTTAAAAGAAATAATATTCCAATTTAACATACCTTCTTGACTGATTTGACGTTCTAAAAATAAAAAATATCAAATTAATGATAGGTTCTACGATTGTTATACATTTAGGTACAGTTAATAATAATTATTTTAATTTTTATCCTTTAATAACTTACGCATCGCTTTTTTGTAATAATTTTCTTCCTTTTTGGCTAAAATAAGAATTGATATTGTTAAAGATTTCGTATTATGAAAAAAATCTAGCATTTTATATACACCTACGAAATTAAAATTTGAAACTCACCCATCTCATTGAAATACTTTTTTATTTCTGTAAAACATATTCAATCATTAAATAAAAAAAAACAAACAACATTAGTTAAAAAAAAATACGGCTCGTGACTCATACCTTTGCTGTCTAGATCAGAATTAACCATTTCTGACGAAGCACTTGATTCTGAACCCAATACCAACCCTTCGAGAGCACTCCCAAGAACACTTTCAGGGCCACCACCCTGATCACCCGTCAAAGAGGTCAACCCTGACACTGCAATCAAATTTACACTTTAAAATCACGTCTGATAATACGGCAAAATAGTCTTTAAGTTAAACACATAGATAGCATTATTTAATGTGTTGGAAACGTACCCAATTTCTGTATTGCTTTTGTATCGAAATCTCCATCAGACTTACTATTGCTACAGGTTACTATCGTTAAACAAAGTAGCTGTAACAAAAAATAGAAATGTTAATAAATTACTAAAAAATAGAACATTATTTATAATAGTTTTGAGCTGAGCAGCAGCTCAGGTAAACTATGAATTTCATATTTTTATATGTAATTAAAACTAAATTTTCGTTTATAACATAAATTGATGTTTTTAATTCTTTGACAATTAAATATGGTTACAATTAACTTACTGCCTCATTGGCCGAGTAGTCGCAAGTGTGACTGCCGGACTAGGAGTCTCGGGTTCAATTCTCGAGTCGGGCAAAGCATTACAAGGTTTTTAAAAATCTCTGTAGACGCACAGAGTCTGTAAATGTGCCCGGTATATGGCAATAGGCTCACCCCCTATTACATAGAACTCATAACATAAAAGTGGCATTAAGTGCCATAATGTGTACCTCTGCCGACCCCTTCGGGGATAAAAGCATGATGTTATGTTATATTACGTAAAAACAATTGAAAAAAAACTTACAAGAACGAATAAATTCAAGTAGAAATACATTGCAACCGCTGTATTACTGTCGTACCTGCCAAAGAAAGGCTAACCAGCATTATTACACACGTTCAATTAATTAGTACGAGTAATATTGCCGGCTTTATTAAGAACCGTGGAACTGTTTTCCGATACGTTAACTTTGTTTTAATTAAATTACTAACCTAATTGGAATTCGAGTTCTAGAATCTCTGGAAAATTTATTATTGATGAACCAATTTTTAGATCGTAATAACATTCGTCTGATTACGTTACGATCTAATGATTTTCGTTCATTAGTTAATTTGAAATACGAATTTCTTTGATATATTTTTTCGTGTTTACTTTTGTCTGTATTTTACATTTTATTTTCATGCTGCAAGGCGGCTACATAGCGTTTCTTATTCAAGTTTTTCAATGCCTTCCTCAACCCATTAACTATTTATTTATGCTTCATTACTATTTATTTAAAAGATAAAGTTCAAGTTCAAGTGTGGAAGAGCCATGCTACGGCACGAATGGGCCGGCTCGACCAGAGGCCGTGGTATCGCCACGGCCTCACAGAAAACCGACGTGAAGCAACGCTTGCATTGTGTTTCGTCGTGTGAGTGAGGTTACCGGAGGCCCAGCTACCCTCCCTCCTTCCCCAATCTCCCCAATCCCCGAATCCCCCACAATCCTCAAACTCCTAATCCACAAAAGGCCGGTAACGCACTTGTAATGTTTCTGGTGTTCCAAGTGTCCGTGGGCGACGCTGATTTGTTGCCATCAGGTGATCCGTCTGTTCGTTTACCGGCTTATGCCATAAAAAAGGCAAAATAGATGAAATGTCAAAAAAGTTGGAATACAACCTACAAAATAAATAACCTATTTTAAGATTTCCGCCCTCATAAAAGTAATTGCTTTTCGTACAAACAAACATTATTATACCTACGTTAAACGTCAGAATTTCATAAAAATCAAAATGGATAAACTTCTGTTTAATTACCTTCGATCAACAATAGCAACTAGATAAAGGGTTACGTACAAAATCAAGCTCCAGTTCTGTCCGTGTGAATAATAATAGTAAAAAAATAACAAAAAGAGAAAAATGTTTTAAAATAGTTTTAAGTTCAACCTAATAACAACCATGGCACCTAATAATAAAGTCATAAATCGTCAAAATATTATCTAATACTTACGACCATTCGTCATATAAGACGAGAAAAACATTTTCTTACTCCTGTCATGTAAAAATTAAAAGACATAAGTTATTTAATATCTAGTTTGAATACAACCTTAAGCTAGAACAAATAAAGATAATTTTTCCGTTATTACCTTGCGATGTTATATCGTTTTGTTTTGTTTCGTTTTGGTTTTTCGAATTTCGAATTTCGCTACAGGAGGTATGTATGGAGTAGCGTTGAACACTAAAATAATTTTATAAATTATGAAAATTAATATTTCGGGATCTTAGTATACATCACTTATTTTTATTAGCGGTACGTTTTTGTGTACGATATGTTTATTTGCTTTATTATTAAAAGTTTAAGTCTCAATCAAAATCATTTATTTCAGTTAGACCACGAAGGCACTTTTGAACGTCAATAATATAAATTTAAAAGTGAACTATTTGCTCATTCCAAGGTGTAGATTCCTATGGAGAGGAACGAGCAAGAAACTCCATAGGTTAGGTACGTTACTCTTTTCCAATCAGGTTACAATACAAATCGACTCCATGCATCCACTGTTCTGTTTAAACAAATGTTTGTGCGCGTGTTGGCGATGCTTGGCCAAGGCGTCGCCAACATACGCACAAACATTGGTGGTGTTGTTTTATAATTGGTAATTTTGTCTAATTTGATATTATTTACTAGTTTAAAAGCTTAAAATATAACGTGTACTTTATGGACATATCGTAAGTAAGACACTCCGGCCGTTATAGTGCTTTTTCGGTTATTATTTTTGCAAATTGCAATTACGCACTGCGGCATCGTAAGACGTGAGCACGTTGGCCGTGTTTGGAGCATACTAAACAAAATAAGAGCTCACTTCTCAAGTGAGCTCTTATTTGTCGAGACGATTTTCTTGCGCCAACCCGATATCTAGTTGTTATTGTTGATCGAAGTTAATTACCAAAACGACACGAAAAGGACTCGTGCTTTTATTTTTTATAATTACTCAAAGACACTTCGTGTTCCAGAGCCAAGATGAATGGCCGACCTCGTGTTAAATGGCTACCTTTTTTGATGTAATTAATGTTTTATATTATTCTCAATGAAATCACACTTTTGATGAATAACCACTGATTTGTAAAGAATTTTTGTAGAATAAGGTACAATTCAAAATTGACCAAACTTAATGGTTACGAGATTCCTACGAGTTATAGCACTGGTTATAGTACATATAACAGTGCTATGCTTACAACCTGAAAAGAAAAAAATAATTACTGATCTTAATCACATTATTACTGACGAAAAACTGTCAATGCTGAAAAATCATTGATCTTTAATTTAATTAAACGTATTTCTGATTGTTTTTATTTCTTCCACGACTCAATGGAACTGGGCTATGCTATGATACGATGTTTCTGCCTAAAGACAAGTGAAGGGTCTGTTTGGACACGTAGATTCCTTTTTCCCGAACGTACGACGCGTCGCGTTCTGCGCGCGCCTCAAAGACCCATCAGACCACCACTGATGGGGCCCAGTAAGGTTGATGCCAATACGGAGCCACGGAGAAGGTAAAAGATTACCGGGGCTCCGATTCGAAGTGCACGAGTAGGAATGGGGTGGTTTTTATTTTTTCCCCCCATAAAAAAGACTCTGTGATTTTAGTCACAAAATTTAATAATAATATATTTATTTATCACCTAACTACTAATATAATGTTTCATTGACAAGACAAACACAATCTAATACTATTTCAAAGAAAATATAACGGAAAGATAATAGCCTGAACTAACGGTCATCATTTACCTTGTAGGTAAGTTTTCTACAAAGTTTGTGTGAGAAGTTGTTGCATCTGTGCACTACTGACGGGATAATAAATTGAAAATAGATGTCACTTTATCTCTCTAAGGTAGAGTAAAATAAAAGAAATGTATTTCATTATGTAGACATCTTTGTAGTCCGATAATCTGCCTATACTTCAAGTATACCTCTATACGAAACCTTAATGGTAATATGACTTTTTATAAATTATTCGTCTGGCACTCAATGAAAGAAAATCGATGTTGATGCCTGAAAATGTATTACATACTACCATTATTTTCCAGTGGAATATTTATACAGCATCAATGCAAGCCTGGTTAATATTATGGTTTCACTCCCTCATCTCCGCCCTCTGCGATACCAAAGTTTATTTAGGCAAGGGATAACTCTCATTTACTTCAAAGCCCAATCTATGAATACTAAATTTATGATGATAATGCTCGCCCTTTCATATTAATTAAATGTTCAATAATATATTTAAATTAACTGGTAAAAATGGGCAGGTGTGGGTAAAGTCTAAATTTCGTACTCCGTAGGGTAATTTGAAATGTATTTTTTTATTTTTTCGTTACGGTGATGTTTAAAGTTAGTAAACATTATTGGGCGTTATTACAAACGCGTGGTAAAATTGACAACCGAAAAATGTACATCATACGAAATTTGAATAAGAAAAGATGAACAAAACATACATTGTAGAAGTACAAGTTTATTCAAGTTTATTCGTACCATTATTTATTCAAAGCTCATTCAATATTCGAACTTGTATCACGTCAAACGTGAGCGAAAATGCGCGAAAATTCAACGTTGTTTTGTGTAGCTAAGGACCGCTTTTGCTTGCTCGTGCAAGACGAATTGGGGTAAATATTTGATGACTGTTTTGAAGGTGTGAAGATGTAAGGTAGTTAAGATGAACGTTGGAAGTTGCTGGGGAAATGTACTCACAGTAGTTGTGAGGAACGAAGGGTGCATAATAAGTTCTGCAGCATACAATAATGCCTCTAGATCGATTTTAGTATTTCCTGAATATAAGGGTTCC